TGGACTAGAAGACCTCCAAGGTCCCTTCCAACTCTGTTATTCCATTCTATTCTACAGTGATCAAAGGTCTGGAGACTAAAACATTTTTTTTATTTTTTTATTTTTTTATTTTGTCAAACAGTTATTAGATAACAGGTAATAAGTATAAACATGGTTAAAAATACATGAAATGGGTACAAATAAGAAAAAAAAACAATAGAACAGGGATGGTAGGCACGTTTTGGTGCGCTTATGCACGCCCCCTACAGACCACTTAGGAAAGGGATGAGGTCAATAGTAGACAGTCTAATGTTGAAGATTTTGGGGTTGGGGGAAGAAACCACAGAGTCAGGTAGAGTATTCCAGACATTGACCACTCTTTTTGCTGAAGTCATATTTCCTGCAATCAAGTTTGGTGTGATTAACCTTGAGTTTTTATCTATTGTTTGTTCTTGTGTTGTTATGGTTGAAGCTGAAGTATTCATTGACAGGTAGGACATTGCAATATATGATTTTATATACTATACTTAGATCGGACCGAAGGCGGCGTAGTTCTAGGTTTTCTAGGTCTAGAATTTCAAGTCTGGTGGCATAAGGTATTTTGCTATGAGTAGAGGAGTGGAGGATTCTTCTCGTAAAATATTTCTGGACTTTCTCAATTGTTTTAATATCAGATATGTAATGCGGGTTCCAGACTGATGAGCTATATTCAAGTATTGGTCTAGCAAATGTTTTATATGCTCTAGTTAGTAGAGTGATATTACCGGAGAAAAAGCTACGCAGGATTATGTTAACAACTCTTTTTTTTTTAAAACAAGTTTTATTAATTTTTAAAACACACAAATTATCATTATTCATTACATGTTTAAACCTTTTTCATTGTAAATTTAACAAGTCAGATAAATTATGATTCTGTTTTAAACCATTTCCATATAACATACAAAAACCTCTTATTCAGTTTCCCTTTACTTCTCTTTACTCTTATTCAATATCATTATTATTATTTCATCTATTTCTTTCTGACTTAGTTACCATTATTCTCATTCTATATTTCTGCAAGCTTTTACTAATTCTCCCCCCCAAAAAAACATATACACACAACAAACAAAACATAAAAAAAAATCTTTTTGGAAAGTAACTTGGACCCAGGTATCTCTCTCTTCATGGACTTCAATTATCTTCATGCTCATCTTACATATCATTACTTATTTTATTTACCATTCTAAGTCTTCTATATTAACTTCTCCACATATTTCACTCTTCTTAATTCTATCTTAATTAATCATCTTAGTTTGAATCATTATATTTGTATCTTTTGTCCATTTTTTATCATCCCTTTGGTCTCATTCCTTATAAAAAGAAGAAAATAAGTTTCTCCCGAAATCATTAATCAGAGTATGATGCCTTTCTATCTCCCCCCTAAATTAATCAAATTAATCTTTAAGATAACATCCAATACCCAATCCGATTTTGCTTGGTACATTCTATCTAACTAGTACATCCAAAATAATTAAATACATAATTAGACAATAAATCCAAATATTAAAAACAAATACTATAATAAAAATTTTATAATAACATCAATACCATAATCTTATTAAACTCTTTAATTAAAACAGTATTCTAAACCTCCCCTATTATTAAATTTTAAAGCCAATCATTTTTAAACATTTTAACATTTTAATCTCTTATCAACTCTTAAACCATTACAATACTACTATCTCATCTTATGTACCTTGCAAAATCTTTTTGAAAAAATTATACTTTATCCATTATCCATAAAAAATTCCTTTTTTTCATTTAATTTCAAAACATTGTAGCTTTTCTCCACCTTTTCCCTTTCTTTCTTCTCCCAACAAACCTTTCTACCCCACCTTCTTCTAGCCTCTGCCTTACTGGCTTCCCTTCTCTGTCGTGTTCCTTTTCCCTTTTGTTTACTATCATCATATTGATTTTGCACCTTATTTTTCCCTTTCTTAAATGTTTTTTTAGATCTTAAGTCCTTTAGTTCTCTTCTTTTCTCTCTTCCTTCTTTCTTGATCAAATTCTGAGATTCATTAAAAATGGCTCCTTCTTTTATTTCTTGTTCTTCTGCTGTCTTCATCTGTTGTAATGTTTGTTGATAGTTAGCAAGCGCCATTTCTAAAAAAAGGAAAGCTTCTTCCACACCATCTTTACCATTTTTTTTTTGCTTGTTCATATTATTTTCTTAGTTCCTCAACAGAAAAAGCCATTATAAATCTTTTCTTTTCTTTTCCCCTTCTTTCTTCTTACAACAACCAGAATATTCCAAAGAAAATAAAAAAAAATAAAGCAGTCCCAAAGTTATCAGTCAGTCCAAACCAAGGCAGAGTTCTCACTTTCTCCTTCTGGGGTAATATCAATCAGAGAGAAAGAAAGTCCAAATCTGTTTAAAATCTTATTGCAATATATTCTAGTCTTCAAATCCTTAAGGCATCTCCTCCAACAAAGTCTTAGCATACAAATATTTTCTTTTTAATCCTCTCTCTTCCCACTCATCGCTTAAAACCAATTTTCACCTAAAAAAAATAGGTTTCTTAATATCCAGTTATTTATTCCGTAGGAAAAGAGGGTAAGCTATCCTTTCAGCACCATCAAACTGCCGCTTTTTTCCTCTTCTGGCAGGTATTATTCAGAAAGTCATACTTTTCAGGAATTTTATTAAATATGTCTTAGAGTCCTAGGAGCCAAGAAAAACTTTCTCCTTTCAAGCACTTTCTCCACTTCCTCCTGCGCATTCTTACCTGGCTGCCAGCTTCTTTGTGGCGGCCATTACGGACCGCCGCTGCACCGTCCTGGGAAAAGGGGGTTCTACCGGCCGGGGAGGGGGTCTGCAACACCCCCAAACCCCTCTCCGGATCCCCCCTACCTTCAGCTGCCCCTGCAGGGCAGCCTAGCTCCGTACCCATCTGGGTCGGAGCCCCAAAAGCGGCTAGCGCGGCAGGGATCGCGCAGCTTCGCAAATCCCTGCCGCTCGCGAAGCCGACAAACCGGAAGTCTCAGGATTATGTTAACAACTCTTAATGCCTTTTTGGCTATGTAGTTACAGTGGGCTCTAGCACTTAGATCATTTGAGATGAGTATTCCAAGATCCTTGACAAAGTTTTTGTCATCAACAAGGTCTTGACTATTCAGCTTGTATTTTATTTTATTTTTTTTATTTTTTTGCCAATATGTAAGATAGAACATTTATTTGTTGAGATGGAGAATGGTTGCAGGATTTGGGTTTGTGTAGTCTAGAGGAAAGAAGGAATAGGAGGGACATTATAGCAATCTTCCAGTATTTGAGGGATTGCCCCAAAAAAGAGGGGGGATCAATTTATTTTCCAAAGCACCTGAAGGCAGGTCAAGAGATAATAGATGGAAAGCAATCAAGGAAAGAAGCTATCTGGAATTAAAGAGAAACTAAGTTATATAAACATTTATTAGAATTTGAAAGAGCTGAAGAAATTATGAAAGGAACGATGATTGCATGAGATAGGAACGTTGGACATAGTATTGATCTGGAAGAATGGCAAAAGATCTGGAATGTGAATTATAAAATAACAAAATCGGCGGCATATAAGGAAAACCAACATAAAATGTTCTATCGTTGGCATTTAGCACCCTCAAGACTGGCTCAGATCTACCCAAATTTAAAACCAAATTGTTGGAAGTGTGGACAACAACAAGGTACCTTCTTTCATTCTTGGTGAACATGCCCCAAAGCAAAAAAAAAACCTGGGAAATGATTCAAACATGGTTAGAAGAGTTAACTAAAAACAAAACTGATTTTGTCCCAGAATTATTCCTTTTAGGAATAATTAAAAAAACTATAACAGAAAGACAAAATATCTTATTATTACATATACTAACAGCAGCAAGAATTTCATATGCTCAGTACTGGAAGAAAAACCTCATACCACCTGAAAGCTTCATAATAATTAAAAAAAAATAGAGTGTGTAGAAATGGATAAATTAACTATGGAATTAAAAGGGGAAACAGACACAAAATATAATGCAGTATGGGGAACATGGTTTATTTGGATTGATAACAGATATAAGAATAGAAAATGTAAATAATATATATAATAGATAAGAGGATATGAAAGTATTGTGGATTGTAAGTTTTGATAGGACACATAAATGTATATATAATGTCACAGCGCTGTTTAATAACTATTGGTATTATGTATAAACAGGGAAAAACTCAATAAAGCATTATAAAAAAATAAATAAAGAGAAACTAAGGGTCAATGGGGAAGCCAGATTCATTTAACAACTGGGTTACTAACTTATCAGCTGCAGTGAGTCACTTAACAGCTATAGCAAGAAAGGTCATAAAATGGGGCAAAACTCACTTAAGAAATGACTCATTTAGCAAGAGAAAATTTGGGCTCATTTGTGGCCCTAAGTCGAGGACTATCTGTACATATTCCCTGTCAATATTAAGCAATTATCTCAGTGGCATAGTTGTTATCTAAATACTATAAGATGACTGTGTCACACGTTGTTGGTTTCTTTTCGTCTAGGTGACGTCATTGTCTACATTAATGAAGTCTGCGTCCTTGGACATACCCACGCAGACGTCGTCAAACTCTTCCAGTCTGTTCCCATTGGTCAGAGCGTCAACTTGGTGCTATGTCGTGGATACCCTCTGCCCTTTGACCCCGAAGATCCTGCCAACAGTGTCGTTCCGCCACTCACCATGATGGAGAGGCCTCCGGTCATCGTCAACGGAAGACATAACTATGAAACGTATTTGGAATACATTTCTAGAACTTCCCAGTCCGTTCCGGATATAACGGATCGGCCGCCACATTCCTTACACTCCATTCCAGCCGAGAGTCAGCTCGATGGCACCTTCCCACCACCCATCCACGATGACAATGTCTCCATGGCCTCTTCGGGAGCCAATCAAGCGGAACTCATTACCTTAACCATTGTGAAAGGGGCCCAGGGTTTCGGCTTCACCATAGCGGACAGTCCAACAGGACAGAGGGTGAAGCAGATCTTAGATGTTCAGGGGTGCCCTGGTTTGTGTGAAGGTGACCTCATTGTCGAGATCAACCAGCAGAATGTACAGAATATGAGCCATGCCGAAGTAGTGGATATACTTAAAGAATGTCCGGTCGGGAGTGAGACTTCGTTGTTTATCCATAGAGGAGGTAAGTCTGGGAAGTCTACTCAACTACAGTAATCTGTTGTGAAAGTTTTAAAATACACTTGATCTGTGATGACCCGGGGCATGACACAAAAATAACAAAGTCACAAAAGTAGAATACATTCCCTTTAATGCTTCCAACTTGGGCTCCAATGTCCGATTATTTTTGGCTGAATATCAAACTCATCCAAAAACAGTCTACGAAGGGAATAAATGCAGTCCGAACCCAAAGTAAAGATAATTAGAAATTAAAAAAACCAACACAAACCACACTGAAATAATTAACACAGCAGATTGCAGACTTCCACAAGATAATGCAGCAACCACAGTTGGGAAGACGCCAAAACCCAGATAAGCCTCGATAAAGATAATGCATTATTTGCTTCCATCAAGGAGCTATATAAAATGTGCCACTTATATCCTGTTCTCCCAGCTGCAACTAATGAAAGGGATCAGGGCCTTTTTCTCTCCCGTAAGCCACGTTGCTCCCTTCTCCACCTTAGGTCTTCCTCTGAATGCCCAGCCAGATTGTGCCCTTCCCCCGTTTCTTCCACAGCCACTGGAGCCACACTCCCACTCCCTGTCAGCTGCTCAATCTCCCCCCTCAGAATCAGATTCCAACAGGGGCATGACATGATCTATCAGTGGGTTGTGAAATAGAAGTCAGTTACTTCCTTAAATATAATAGGTGATGATGATGATGATGTTATCCATTCAATCATGTCCAACTTCTGGTGATTCCATGGACCAGGTCTCTCCATATCTTCCAATCCTGTACTACTTCTTTGATGTCTATGGAGATTCTCAGTCATCCAGGTCAGCGTTGTCCCAAAGGTGCTTTTTTCAAGAGGCAACTGGACTTTTTGGTTTTTCCTTGAAGACATTTCGATTCTCATCCGAGAAGTTTCTTCAGCTCTGACTGTATGGTAGGGAATGGAAAGGTTTATACTCCTTGCGGACAGCTGGTCATTTACATTATTTTTAGAGAGTCATTGAGGCCACTTGGAGGTTTATCTGTGTCCTCAAGGCCACCTGAGTGATGCAAATGGGTGTGGAGCTTTCTTGGAATTGCTGAAAGGACTATATTGTAGACTGGAGATAGATGAAGTTGTATCCCTCCCCCTATGTTGATGGAGGGCTGTTCAATTTTGACATATCTTTGACACCTCTTTCAAACCATTACGGCTTCCCTAAATCCCAAAGGTATTTTTTTCAAGAGGCGATTGGACTTTCTGGTTTTTCCTTGAAGACATTTTGCTTTTCATCCAAGAAGCTTCTTCAGCTCTGACTGGATGGTGGGGAATGGAAGGATTTAGACTCCTTGCAGCCAGCTGGTCATTTGCATCCTTTTAGAGAGTCATTGAGTCTACCTGGACTTTCTTTGTTTTTCCTTGAAGACGTTTCACTTCTCACCCGAGAAGCTTCTTCAGTTCTGTTTTTCAGGCAGAACCGAAGAAGCTTCTTGGATGAGAAATGAAATGTCTTCAAGGAAAAACAAATAAAGTCCACTTGCCTCCTAAAAAAGCATCTTTGGGTCTGCATCTGACTGTTGCCAACTTTAATGGTGCCCAGACACCGTGTTTTTCAATACAGTAAATTCAAAAAATGTGAACGTAGGCAAAATGCAACATTATAAATTCTCCTTCCCTGTGTTTTAAGACATTAAATACTCCCATGAAGCACACACATGTGTACGTGAAAATTATGGTATTTATGTCATTTTGTGTGGCATAATATTTGATCATAGTACATTACAGGCAGTCCTCAACATACGATCGCAATTGGGCCTCCAATTTCTGTTGCTAAGTGAGACACGTGTTAAGTGAGTTTTGCCCCATTTTGTGGCCCAGTCGTTCAGCGAATCCCCTGAAGTTGTAAAGTGAGCAACAAAGTTGTTAAATGAATCTGGCTTCCCTGGTGAGTTTGCTTGTCCAAAGTCTACCAAAGGGGACCACGTGACCCCAAGACACTGCAACTGTCATAAATACGAGTCAGTTACCAAGAGTTTTGAATTTTGTGTCATGTAACGATAGGGATGCTGCAATGTTCATAACCAGGAGTGGGATTCTACCTGGTCAGAGCAATTCTAAAGAACTGGTTGTTACAATTCTGTGCAGTTTGGAGAACCAGCAAATCACGCCACTGGCTGGCCCCACCCCACTCTGCCCCACCCTGCCCACTCACCCCTTACCTGGCATGCGTGCCATCAAACTTGCCTGCGTTTGGTAAGTTGCTATTTTTCCTTTTTTTTTTCCCCAACCATCAGCTGTTCTGCTGTGCCAGGAGATTTAGATTAGTTAGAAAGCAGGAAATCGTTGGATTTCTTGCTTTCTAGCTAATCTAAAAGCAGGGCTGAACCTTCCTTAGGACTGAAGCTTCTATTTTTCAGTGCAGACTCAGGTAGCAGATTGCAGAAAGGTAGATCTCTGAGTGAATCTGTGATTCTGTGATCAATTCAATCTGCCTGCCTGCTTTGCCTGATTTTGGGTAAAAGTTGCTCTATTTTTTATTTAAAAAATCAATATTTACATAAATATTTATAATATTTACATACAAGCCATGCCCAGCTAGTCACATGACACCAAGCCACACCCACAAATTAGCCCATGCTCACAGAACCGGTTGTTAAGAAATTTGAATCCCACCCCTGGTCATAACTGTGAAACATGATCAAAAGTCATTTTTTGCAACGACATTGTCACTGTGAACTATTACTAAATGAACAGTTGTAACTACCTATATAAGTTCTGCTTCATATTGCACTGCTTAAATGTGATTTTTCACTTGTGGAATGATAGAATGATCGCCATCAAACTGGCAAAGAACATAAGCAGGAACTGGCTGCACATGAAATAGGCACCCATGTTTATATCGCGCAAGATGCCTTCTCTTTGAGACCATTCTCCATATTACAAAATTCGTTTCAGATTGTACCGTTATCCGGCTGGCGTGAATACATGAATGCTCAGATTTATAAGTCATTTATAAACAATTAGTGCAGATTAAACTTCATTAGAAACTATCCCGAGGAATTAAAATTAATTGAACTGACTTGCAAAGAGAGGGGAGTCCTGTGACTGTCTACAAATCTGGAGTAAACAATGAAGGGACCTCGGATGGCTTGTTTAACTCCTGGAAACTGATAGAGAGATCGTTCCCGACTTACAGCTGTTCATTTAGTGACTATTCAAAGTTGCAACGGCACTGAAAAAGTGACTTAGGATGATCTTTCACACTTATGACTGCTGTAGCATCCTCATGGTCATGTGGTCAAAATTGCTTAGCCACTGGTTCATATTTATGACCGTTGCTGTGTCCCGGGTTCATGTGCTCCCCTTTTGCGACCTTCTGAGGAGCAAAGTCAGTGGGGAAGCCAGATTCACTTAACAACCAGGTTACTGACTTATCAACTGCAGTCATCTTCTTTTAACAACCCCATAATCCCTTACGGGGTGGAGAGTCTGGGCAACTGAATGGAGCTGAGTGTTTAATGGCCAGATACCCTTCCTGTTGCCAATGAGGAGTTTTGTTCGGCAGATATTCTCATTGTGCCCAGAGAGAGAAATATCTGCCTGTACCCAGGATCGAACTCACAGCTTCCAGATTGTGAGGTGAGAGCTACACCTCTAGGCCACCGCATCACTCGACTTATCAACCACAGTAATTCACTTAAAAGCTGTGGCAAGAAAAGTCATAAAATTAAAGTCACTTAACAAATGCCTCGCTTAACAACAGAAATGTTGGGCTCAATTGTGGTCATTAAGTCTTCCTGTATTACGAATATTCCTTACAGATACAGAGAGGTTGATATTTCTTTTACATAAAAAATACGAAAGGCACATTATGGGTTTCGCAGGTAAAATGAGGGGAGAGCATCTTTTTTTTTCCCCAGCTGTGACAAACCCTAGAATAGCTTTTAACTGGAATTGAATATTTGTTTTCATACCAAGTAAGAGATTAATTCACTTAAATGTAAAGTAATTGCTTACCTGGCATTTAGGTGGGAGCAGAAAACCTGAATTGACTATCCTTCTGGGAAATTTACTAGTGATGTCTTCTTGTCAGGGAAGGCTGGTGTGCCAATTTGTATGCTATTTGTATTCTGAGAACGAAAACATCCTTAAAATTACATGAGAATTTCAAGCATTAAAAAAGCCACAGAGAACAGCACACGGTCTGTTAGAGAGAAGTTCCCATGTCTAGAATACTGCATCTACACCATAAAAAAGATGTTGAGACTCTAGAAAAAGTGCAGAGAAGAGCAACCAGGATGATAAGGGGACTGGAGGCTAAAACATACGATGAACAGTTACAGGAACTGGACATGGCTAGTCTAGGGAAGAGAAGGACCAGGGGAGACAGGAGAGCAGTCTTCTGATATTTGAGGGGCTGCCACAGAGAGGAGGAGGGGGTCAAGCTATTTTCTAAAGCACCTGAAGGCCAAACAAGGAATAATGGACAAGGAAGAGATTCAACCTAGTCATTCATCTATAACTTTCAGTGTTTCTAAACTTCAGGCTATAAATGGTCCTTTTGTTTCCATTTTGAGGATTGTGTCCAAGGTCATCTTTTGTTATTCATGAAAGGGGTATTCCTTAAATGTATTAGAATTTTTGTCACACAAAGGGTTGAAACAGAGTCTCTTCTTCTTGGCTTCAGTCTAATTAATTTGAAGAGAAACCACCACCACCCCAATCTGTATCAGATTCTATTGTTTTAAAATAATTCTTCCACAAAAGGTTTAAATGCTTCCTTTCTCTGAAACTTTCAAGAGGTAATTAATATCTTTTCTTTAAAAAGTAATAATAATTATCTCTATCTTAGTTATCCCTTCCAGCTCATGAATTCTTTGTACAATTTTGTCTTCTGTATAAATTTTTGTAAGTCTTATTATGACATATTTTGGCTCTTAGTTAGGGAGGGGAAACTCCTCCTTGACACATTTATATTCATTTGTTGGAAGAAATTTCCCTGGTTCGTTCCCAGCTAGGACATACCAGAGAA